CCTCTAATGCTTCTTTCACCCACAACATTTTAAGACAAAAAACCACTTTGATTAATTAACCCTCACAAAACTCCTTTGCTTTAACTATTACCATTATTGTAGAGAATTTGAAGTCAGAGACACCTAAGGTTAAGGACACTTACAATGCCCAGATTTAAATAACAAGTCAAACCAGAACCAGAAACCAGGAGGCTTGACAGCTAGTCCCATGCACTAACCACAACGCTCTCTACCAGTGTCCACTCTGATTGAGAAATAAATGTATTGGGCTGAATTGTACCCTTGGCTCGCATGCACTCTGCTTGAAGCCACGGTCAGTTGTACACGATTCCAAGACCAAGGAACCTCATGAGTACAAGGCAAAGGTTTTAAGAACTTAAACCTAATAATTCTAGCTAGTCTTCATGATTGCTAGCATAGTTCACATTACAGATAAAACTGAGAGTGATGTAACCAAGAAATAGTCTTATCGCCCGTACTAGGATCTACTTGGTTGTATACATATATGAATAGTATCTGTGATGGGACGGGATGAACAGTAACTGCCATAAAAAAACAAAATAAATACATGTAAACAGAGGCCATCACCACTGTCTCAGTTTGTTAGTGTAGTGAACTGAACAAATCTTTTTAAATGATTATCATGACTCCTGTGAAAGTACATTAATTGCATTCTGTCATTCTCAGATGAGCCTGTGGTGTCATTGATCCAAAAGCAACATGCTTGTAATTAAAAATGAAAGCATCTCATGATTGGAATGATCATTTAAGGATGTCCAAGTACTGCAGGATTTTTTTTTTCTATGCCCAACTTTTCCAACTCCCTTGAAGTCTAGTTGTTTCAGTGGAAGCAGAATCAGACCTGATTTATTAAACAGGGAGAAATGTATCCCCTATGCAAATAGCCTGTGCCATTTATGCCCCACTTAAGTCCTTATCTAGAATTATTTTGTGGAGTAACGTAGTGCTAATTCCATATAGGCTTGAATAAAAAAATCTGCAAAGAAAAGCACTATAAACAAGGATGACATGATACTCACAGGCTACCCAGAACTTCCTTGACCTAGTCAATGAGAGATATCGATGACAATTGCTTTGCCCTTGCTAACATGAACACTAGTCTCTTCTGGTACAAGCACACAGGGATGTTTGAGTGAAGTCACAGAAATACATTGCACAGCTGTAAAATTTGGCCAAAGGCTGAACTTGACTGAGTGGATGCCCCAGGCTAGACAGATGGCAAGCAAAGTGTAAGGAAATGCATTTAGGGCTAGAGTTTGAGGCTGGGAACCAAATACCTTTAAAAATCTAGCCCATAGGCTTTATTCAAGAGCCTACAACAATAAAAAAATCAACGTGAAAAAGGACAAAGCTTTCTTGGACTGCCTCTGGATAGGTTTTTTCATGAAGCTGGCAAAAAAAATATGACATGGAACAGACATCTGCAGCTCCAACCCAAAGGGAAGAAGACGTTGAAAAACAAACATAATTTACCAGCCTAAATATAGATACAGATGCTGCAAAAATAATTGCTCAGGGGAAAAGAAAAATTTGAACTGTAGGTAAAAAGCTTTCTGCACGCATGAATGGAATTACACACCTTAGCTACCGTGAAGGAAGACCCACAGGGAGAGGAAGAGAGCATAGAAAAGTCACAGCCAGAAGGACACTGAAGTCAAGGGCACAGCTGCAGAAAATAACTCTGAAGCCAACAAGTCATCGCCTTAAATCAGCTGAAACCTCAGACTGAATTAGAGAGCCTGGTCAAAACACTACTCTCCACTGCAGAGACATTGAGGACAGCTAAATGTTTCTGTAAAGTGGGTAGAAAAAAATCCCAAATTCAAGCACTGTTTGCCTCTGAGAAGTCTTCGGCCCAGGTTTGGCCCTAAGTTTGAGTGCTCAAACCTCCCTTTAAATTAACCATGGAGGATTGAAACCTGCAGTGTGGTAAATTTCCCTAATTTCATTAAAGGACATGGAAGTCTAGCACCTTGCTCAGACAGAGAAGGAAACCCCAGGGATTGGTCTGCATACAACCGAGAAAAATATAAAAACTGCTTAGACCCTATCATCATCCCAAATGGCACTTAGGGCATATCTATACTTCATGCTTCACTGCAGCACTCCCTAATGCAGTATTGAGGCAACGGAATATCAAAGTATCCCATCACTCTTGCAAGAGAGGATAACAATATTAGCTCGTGAGAAATGGACTTCACTGCCTGTGTGCAATCTAGCAAGAAAATGGACTAAAGGAATCCTTCTCTTGGCAGTAGTAAGTCACAGACTAAAGGAAATGGATCAAATATCCTGACGATGTCACCAGCAGTCTCAAATTCCTGGGAAAAATACCATATTAATTATTCATAGATGCTTAAACCAGAAGAAACCATTAGATTATCTATGGCCAGCGTTACACAGGAAGTCAGACTAGACTCTCACCTACACACCCCTGTATTGAGCCCCAAATCTTGCATTTGGCTAAAGCACGTCTTTCTCTGAAGGGCAGCCCTCAGAAGACAAGCATAATAAAATCCCTCAGGAGTTTGTGCCAATGCTGAATCATCTTCTTGTTAATTTTTTTTTTGTGCCTTATTTCTACTTTGGGTATATCTTGCTTTAACTTCTAGCCATTTATTCTTGTTATGTCTTTCTCTGCTAGCTCAAAGAGCTTCTCAGTACACAAGGAATTGAATTAAATCTTTCTGCATATATCAATTCATTTTAATGATACTTAATCTAGTTGGTTAAAAGGTTTCTTCTGAAACATTTCCACAATGAAAAATGGCTTTTTTGTTACAGCAGAAACAGGAAATGCTCAGGATGGCCATTTTGGAGAAGGTGGGCAGAGTGGCAAACGGAGGGAATATTTTTGAAGAAAATTCTTAACAACGAACAAAATTACAAAATTTTTTCCACAAAAATTGCTTGGTGCGGGGACTCTAACGGACTCTTATATCCATACTGGTGTGACCCTTCCAAAGTGAGCATTAAAACACAAGAAATAAATTAAATTGCATGAGCTGGTAAAAAATTTCTCTCTCCCTAGGCGGAGTTAGCTTGTGAGAAGAATAATTCTAATATAATAAAGGGCATAGTCCGTCTGTCTGTCTGTCCATAATGCTCTTGGAGCACTGTGATTGGTTACTGAAACAACCAATCAGAGTGCTCCAAGAGCATTATGGACAGGAGGTGGCAGTGCCACAGTGAAGCGCCACCATGATAGTGGGGACAGGGTGGGGAGGGCTGCCCCTCCCCCAGCCCTGCTCTCTGGAGGCAGCAGAGTGCCACTGTGACAGTGGGGATGGAGCAGGGGGGAGAGGCCAGCTGGCCTCACCCCCCAGCTCTACTCCTCGGAGCCAGTGGTGGTGCAGGGTGCTGGCAGGGGGGTGGGATGGAGGGGACAGTGGGGCAAGCTTCCCCTTCCCCCCTGCTCCTGGGAGGTGGCAGTGGCGGCAGTGCGGGGCGGGGGTTAGGGTTAGGGTTAGCAAGATTCCCACTCTCCCTCCATCTCCCCCTTCCCCTCTCCTCGTCATTCTTGATGGGCACTCAACCGAAACCAAATGCACCTTGAAATGTTACGGTAAGTTAATACATATAAGTAATCTAGAAAATATTGTACTTATGTGGATGTGTGAACTAAGCCAGATTCTTCTCGGGAACAAGTTCTGCTCAGTACAGTAAAAGGCACCTAGCAACTCTGGAGCCAGGCACAACTTCCTGAGGAATTTAAGCCATTCCTAGAATCCACAGGTTGGACACTATGACCATTTGTGCCACCTGAGGAACCGGGGCAGGTGAGGAGGGAAAGAGAGAGGAGAAAATCTGGCTTGCTGTATTATTTACATCCTTGGCAGAGAAGGAAGTCTACTGAGTAAGACAAGGGGAGATGTGCATTTTGCAAAGGAAGCCAGGAAAAGCTTTCCTGACAGTTCTTAAATAAATAATTACCCAGCACTTTGAAATTAGAGGTCGTATGCAAAACAGGTATAGTGTGGGCTCAGGTGGTGCCAGGCAAACCTAGTTACAAATGAGAACAATAGCAATTCTCTAGGAGTTTCAGCCTCTGTACAAAAAATGATCAAACCTTCTAAAGTGATAATGACTTTCATATATTCCATGGTCTCTGCAACAGCTTTTTTTCAATACAAGCAGCTTACTGCAATTGCTAATAAAGAGTTCTCACAAATGAGCCAGTTACATGGATTTGCAGCAGGTAATAAAGAGCATAAAGTACTTTTTTGACATCTTAAAAGCTAATAAATACCAGACAAGCCTTTGTTGGGAGTTTTGCCAGGGTTAAAAAAAAACTGCAGAGAGTAATGCAGGAATTCAGTTTGAGCCATAGCTCAGACAGAATCAAGTAACAACTCTAGTGATATCTGTATTATGCACATGCACACAATTAAATTAAAAGACATTAAGGCTGCTAAGTTCAGCACTTAAAAGTGAGAGGAAAGGGCAGAATTAAGATTTCCTGGTCAAAACTCATTCTGCTTGCTTGTATGCATTATCATGCAACTTTTCTGACATGATCTGGCATGAAAAAATTCAGCCCAAATGATTAGTCTAAGTTGTAAACAACTGAAAAGAAGGTCTCATAATAGAAAGTATCAGACAACATTAACTGCAGTCAGCAAAACCTGTGTATAATAATGACTTCCAGAGTAGTCACTAAATTGCAGTCACTGGTGGCGTTTAACGAAAGACTAGGTAAAATGGGACACTGATGCAGAAGACAGTCCGGTATCAGTGCAACACTACAGGACTTGCACTGTGTTGTGCAGGATGGTGCTACATAAGAAGCAGTTGAAGATGAGCAAAATTCAAAAGACAATTCCACTCTCGTATATCTTTACAATCTGTGCTGCCCTGTCTGTAATAGATGGGGCAGCACAAAAGACAATACAATTAAGACCACTCCTAATTTAGTCATGTACCTTGTGCTCCCAGGTTCACAAACATTACCAAATTACCACAAAACCATTGGTACTTACCATGTTCATCCAGTAAAATGTTGTCAGGTTTGATGTCCCTAGAAAAAGACAAAGAGAGGAGAAAAGGATGTCAACAAAGACTGGTGATATGCAGCAGAACTGCGGAAGCAAGATCTTTGTTATATTTGATGGCGAGTACAAACAAGCTCCTCAAGGCATTCTGCCTTGGAGACCTTCTGAGTGTGGTCCTTCCATATTACTTCCTCTGGGATGTGTAATTTGGATATAAATAAATGACAATAAACAAGGGAAGGAAAGATTATGATAACAGGGATATGACTCTTGGCTTTGGTTTGCCATGCCCTGAGCAAGTTAATACAACCAGGGTGCTGGAGGTTTTAGATCATCTGTTTATCACTGTCTGCACCAGTACTGTTCCTGGTGGACACTCAACTGTTTTGACAGGATTTGACCCCTGGCTGCCAATGCCCCTAAATTTCTATTTTTTTGGAAAGTGACTAATGAACAAGGATCCTGGTTTCCTCGTTAAAAATCCAAAATTCTCTCATTAAAAAACACCTCCAATCTGTGTTTTTTCCATGATTAAAATGAAACGCCACTATATATGTGGGTATCAGTTGAGCATAATGTTTTATTAATATATTTACCATTTTAAAGCAATTTGGAAGGCTACCAGTGCCTCAATCCTTATAATAAAATAAATTCTAAATATGTATATATTTTTACATTTGATTTTGGTTTTTTTATCATAGAAAATCACAGCTCTCCCCGCCCCCTTCACTCCCCAGGACACGGATCCAGCTGCAGGTGGTACCCGCCCCCCCCCC